TGGCAAGGCAGACAGCAAACAGAGCACCCTATGCAGTGCAGCTTGACACGGGCAAGCAGAGCCACAAGTCTAGAGGCTTCGCACGAAAGGCTCCACCCCTGCGTCTGGCATACCGTCTACGTATACATCCGGGAGCCTTCCGGTCCAGTTACTACCAACAAGAGCCCCGATGAGATACACCAACCAGGTGATCTTCTCCTCAAAGACCTTTCTGCTGATTTCGCCACTCTGTGCTTTGGCCTTCGTCTCTTCGAACAACTCATGGACCATCCGTGCCGTCTTCGTGTAGCGACACCGCGCAAGCTGAGAGAGAACCTCCAGTTGTTCTTGTCGCAACACTTCATTGTTTAAGGGGCTCTCCCAGTCGCAGTTGTCTGCAAGTCAGGCGAGACACTGAGAGTACAATAGAAACTGAATGACACAAGTCCAGAACCGTACAGATTCAGCGACAGTCTGACAGCTGCATCCTTCACTCTAACTGCAGCCAAGCCGAAGACCTGTCAGAAGCGTCGAGACAGAACCTGGATGACCTGACAGGATAAAATCAAGAGCCTTACCAGCATCTTCGGCTATGGCCTCCGCTACACACATGCGGCTCATGATGAATGCTGCAGTAATCCTCTCGNACCAGCATCTTCGGCTATGGCCTCCGCTACACACATGCGGCTCATGATGAATGCTGCAGTAATCCTCTCGATATACAGCTCCAAGTCGTTGGGTACCTTTTGCTTGTAGAAAAGCAAGGGCGAAATCACATGAGCCCACACTCCCAAAAGGTAGTGTTTGCTATTCGGCATACGCTGCCACGATTTCAGGCTCTCCATTGTGAAATCAAATAGGTACTGTGGGAATTCTCTGAAAGGCTCTGTGGCACAGAGTTCGCTGAGATGGTGGGAAGTGTTGATCTTGCCAATTAGCCGACAGAACTCGTGGTAGCACATATCGTCTGTTAGGCCAGTCCTTGTTTTGATTATCTTGAATGTCCCTAGGATCAAGGCGCTCATATATTTGTTCCTGGTGGCTGTGGTTTCAAAGAAAGATCGGCGAAAAGCCGATATGAGAACGAGGCAAGACAAACACAAGCGTGCGCATTCAACGCGAGGCCGGTGAGGGTTCTTTTGCCAGCAGGCGTTGTATAGGCTAAAAAACATTTTAGGAAAACGTTCTTCCCTGAACTCGCTCCAGCCTTGAGGGATCATGACTGTATTCTGTTCATCCGTGGTGTCGTCGGCTATGGTCCCCATGAAATCGAACGACAGACAATTAAGCGCCAGTTGTAGCACTTGTTTAAGCAGACGTGTCTCNTGGTCCCCATGAAATCGAACGACAGACAATTAAGCGCCAGTTGTAGCACTTGTTTAAGCAGACGTGTCTCCTCTTCATCATTCGGTACGCGGATGGCCCCCGCATCGAACTGCTGCAGAGTCTTTACTGCCACCTTCAGGATAGACGAAAGCGCAAGGTCGCGGAAGGAGAAAGCAACGCGACGCAGACGAGACATGTGATATCCGATCTTCGGCTGCATCTCCTGAGTTAACTCAGTGTATATGTACAGTCCAACAACCCAGTGTGCAGTAGATGCGCTCAAGAATAAACCAACTTGCTCCAGAATCTTCTGCAGCCAGAAAAGTACACAGGAAAACAACCCACACAATGATCCACAGCATGCGCAAACTTCGCACAGATGAGGGCACCAAGCAATCACATCTATAGAATACTACGGCTGCACTCAACTCGTTCCGAGATGAAATGCTGCTGAAAAGAGGTACTAGTGCATAGAAACTCGCCTTGTCCACATCTTCAAACCAGGAGAGCTTCACTATGCGACAGAGCAATCGAGTA